AGGTGGAGAGGACTGCAGTCGGGACCTCTGGCATCCTCTCGGGGAGAAAGGTGCGGCTCACCCCTGTCCGGGGCGCAGAGGTGGCTCCGCCCGTGGCTTTTTTTTTTTTTTTTTTTTTTTTTTTTTTCCAGGAGTGCGTGCGCAGGAGCTGCAGTTGCAATCTGTCGATCAGGGAAGTGGTGACTCGGGGAGAATGGGGACGGACCAGATGGCTTTCACTCCAAGACATACTAGGTGTATGGTGTAGACAGAATCGCCCTCTGCTTCCCCTCCAAGACGTGAGGGGAGCCTTGACCTTTTCAGGGATGCGACCTCTTGCCTGCGCGTGCTAGGGGTGGTTGGAGTCCCTAGGCAGAGAAGACAGAAGCTGAGCTAGGAAGGTGAAGTGGCCAGCTCCTGGGCTAGGGGAAGCCCAGGAGAAGGGCTTGGGAACTCATTAAAGCTGCTGGGGGGGCTGGGGGGAGGGGGGACGCAGACAAGGCCCAGGCAATGGCGTGTCCTGGAAGGTCTCTCCTGGGAACTCCCCGAGCCCCTCGGAACTGCAGCTTTCGGTCCCTCCTAGCCCCCGCCGCATTCTCTGAGCTCCACAGGAGGGCACACCACGGCGCTGCCTCTGCCGCTCACAGGTCTGACGCTGCTCAAGGCCTGGGCACTCATCCTCAGCCATCCTGCCTTTCTGCAAAACAATCTCCAGAGCAAGCTGTCCCCATCCGCACGGAACCCCCTCCCCCCCAGACATCCTCGCCGGCATTGTGGGGCTTGGCCTGGCTTCCTGGGGCTTCCAGTAAAAAAAAAATAAATAATCGATTCAGTCTCTCTTTCTCCTGGCAGATTCCAAGCCATCCCTCAACCCTTTCCCATTTCTCCCACTTCTTCCTCTTCTCTGCTTGAATTTGACTTCAGTAGCCCCAAAACAGGATTCATACCAAAGCTGCTACCTAAATTTAGACTTCCACACGCCCTGGCGTTTTGTTTTTTAATTGCATTAACTAAGTATACACTTTGCTTTGCAGTCGGCTGAGCAGTTTACAGAGAGATGTTCTTACTTCCCTATCTATTTGGCTGCAGTTTGGGGCTCTTTGGGGGATATTTTCAAAGAACTAAGAAATTATGCCACTTGTAAAATGGTATGCTGGGGTCCCCTTAACTGAAAGGAGGGATATTTGGGCTGTGTAGCAAATGGGAAGGAGTTTGGAGAACCTCATCTTCTCTTTGAAGAAATATCACCTTTTGATATTTGGAAAAAGATTTACAAATGCATACCAGGACCACCGCTGTAAACCATCTCCAGGAGCAGGCAAGCTCCTAGAAAACTTGCAGTTATGGAATGTGCCCTATCCCATCCCCACTTGGGAAAGGGGTGAAATTGCTTAACCCAAAGTCATCAGGTTCCTTATGGCAGAATCTCCAAAGAGTCCCATGTGTGAGAGTTCATAGTAGCTGACATTCATCTGGGGTTTGCAACATAGTCCCCAGGGCTTGCTTCTGCTAAAAATCACCTCCTCCAGGAGGCTCAAAGCAGTGAGTACTGAGTTCCAGACCATCTGGAAATTCATGGAGAAACCGCTGAGCCCAGTAGCCTGATTTTACTCTCCACCTCTTAGTTAATTTTATCTGCCCAACAGCACAGAGAAGAAAACAAACCTCAAAGCAAATAAAGCCACCCAGGTAGTTCAAAAGTGCTGGAGTTGGCACTTGACCCAAGAAATCTAACTCCTGAGCCTGTGGTCTAGCCAGTTCTTACAATCCCTTCCTAAGATAGAACTCCGGATTCTCAATCCACCTGCTATTATATATTATATATTTTGACCTCTTCAATTACTGCAATGTAAACTCTGTGAATGAAAGGGGCCTTGATCATCTATGACCCAAGCACCTAGAACAGTGCTAGACATGAGCAACAGCACATACACTATTTATGGGCTATGTAAGCTAAGTGGTTAAGATTTTTAATGGGGTGCTAGGAAGAAAGCTCAGTCTAGGTAAAGTGCTTGTCACAAAAGCATGAGGACCTGAGTACAATCCTTAGAACCCATCCATATAAAAAAGCAGGTGTACTAGCATTTGCTTATAATCCCTGCATTAGGGAAGTAGAGACAAGCAGATCCCCAGTGACCCCTAGCCGGCTCTCCTAGACTGCTTGTGGAGCTCTAGGTCAATGAGAGACCATATATCAAAAAATAAAGTGGACAACTCTTGAAGAATGACACTCAGGGTTGTCATTTGGCCTCAATATGCACTGGTACACAAATGTATGCATACCTGAAAACACACACACACACACACACACACACACACACACACACACCACATAAAGCTCTTTAGCAAACGAGTCTATCTTAGACAAAAAGGGGAAAGGAATACTTTGAACACTGATAATAAAATTGCTGCCAACATGACTTCTGTGAAGAGGTTGGGAAATGTCTATACACTACTAACTTGGGCTTGCAAAGGGATCTTCCAGAAGGCTTTCTAGGACCCAGGAAGCTGCGGCTCAGAAAGGTTGAGAGCTCTTTCCATCAAACAGTAAAACCAAGACTGGATATAGTCTCTACCCAACTATTAATGCAGGTGTCTGCCATCCCTGATCCTGCTCCGCCACTTTGAGGCTCCCCCATATCAGAGCATCCTTTACAGGAACCCCATAGAAAAGCAGGCTTTACACACACACACACACACACACACACACACCATAATACAAGATTTGGGGACTTTAAGATACTTTTAAACATCATGTTTTTTAAAAGTACCTTAGAGGAGAGAGGCAAAATCTGGACAGGAAAGTTCATTTCAGAATCTGCCCTAATCTCTGCTCAAGTCTCTCCCTCTCACTGGGACATTATGTATAAGAACCCACTCTGACTGCTACTCCTGGCTTTAATTAACAGAGACTGCCCCCTGTTTGTGACAAGGAAACTGCAGGATCCGTGCTTCAGAAGGAAGCAGACTGAGACCCACCCTGTGTGGCTTATTCCTGAATGATGCTAAATTTTAAGCTTCTGATTCCCCCATAAGCTTTTCCCAAATTAAATTCCCTTCCTGCTTCTAGCTGCTGTGGCCACCGCTGCTGGAATATTACCCTAGCCCACATCCCAAGTCTTTGAAAAACATTTAGAAGAATCATCTTGGTTCCTTTCACTCTTCAAAGGAAAAAAAAAAAAATCAATTTTCTCTGGGCATGTCAAGTCACCAAGTACAGCCAGTGCCTCCTGACAGGTGTGTGATCTTTTGGACTATGCCCCTGTTTGGAACAGGTGACTGAAAAGGGTTATTTCTCTTAAGGCTTCTAAGTGTGTGCATGGGGGTTTCGTGAGTTATGAAGTTCCTCATTGAAACTCTTGACAAGTCCACAGACAATGAAAAATCATCAACACCCCCCACTACCACAACAGAAGTGAATCCGATAATTAAAATACAGGTCTTTATGAAAGTGCTGTCTGAAAAAAAGGTGAGGACATTATGGTTTTTGCAAAACAGGCCCTTTTAATATCTGAAGGATAGTCTCAATTGCTATAGCCTTAAGTATCCAGGCTGTAGTACCCACTGCAACAAGAATACAACCCACTAACAGGAAAGGAAACAAAGATGGCAAAGGGTATTGTCTTACTGGAGCTTTCTTGCGACCAATATTTATAACCGATGCGGCAAATTCAATTATGTGTACTATGGGCTTCACCTGAATGAGTTGTTTGTTAATCCTCCTCATCAGGTGGCTTTTAGGGTTTCAAAGAGGTTTCCAAGCAACTGTTAGCCTTGAGGGAAAAGGAAGAGAGATGACACAGAATCAAAATGTAGCAAGCCTTGCCAGTTTCCAGAAACACACTGATTTGATGAATTTTATTCTCCCATCTGGAAAAACAAAGGAGCCTCACAGACATAAAGAAAGCCAATAGAACAGTTCTCCTACACTAATGGTGGCACCAGAGATGGTTCTTGGTGGTACCCTTCCAAAGATTTCATATGTTAATGCTTTCATATTTATTTCAATATGGATTAGAAAAAAATAACTTTTATCTACCACACAAATTCACTGGCAGAAGTGTTAAAGCATAGTTAATTCTTTTAGATGCATTAATGATATAGTCAATTTAAGAAAAATACACTATAGTATTTACAATAAAGAATAGAGGATCAAATATCTGGTACTGAAAACTGAAGCTTAGCGGGGACAGACATTGGTGTCAGGTCAAGTTTTCCCAAAATCAGCACTGTTGTCATTTGGGAGTCTGTGTTGTAAGGGCATTCTATCCGTTAGGGGATGTTTCACTGTATACTTGGTCCCTACCCAGTAGATGCTAAGAGCGTCACACATACACACACACCCCTAATTTTAGCCACCAAATATATTGACAGACGTTGCCAAATGTCATCTGGGAGACAAAATAAAAAAACCAATTAGAGACCACAAGACCAT